AAAATAATAATAAAAATTATGTGCCAAGCACTGTGGTCAACATTTTACATGGGTAACTGGTTATGCAGAAGGTATGAATATTTTCTGTGTGATTTAACAGCTCAATTCAAAGTTTCATAAGCTCCCACTATCTGCAAGGCTGAGGCATGACAAAGATGAGCCAAAAAGAGAAAAGTTACAAATTTTGAAATATCCGTTAAAGCATAGTAAAAGGCATAGTACATAGCACATGACTGTTTTCTGCAATTCTGAAATCCAAAAAGCTCTGAAAAATTGAAGATTCTTTTTATAACTCATTTGGCAACAAAAATCTGACCCAAACTGATGACAGGCTATTTACTCTTAAGGTGTGAATATTCATACATTTGCTGTATAAATATTGATGTCTGATTATGGGGTTCTACCCCACATTCCACCACGGCATAATGTAACATGTAAGGTATTATGGATCTTGAATTCTTATGTGCACTTCATTTGTAAATACATACACACAAAATTGCAGTCAAATAGTTGTTTCTATTTTAAAAGCACCATTAAAGATGGCTTGTTAAAGGCAGATACCGTGATAATTCCATGACAGTCATAGTTCTCATTCTCATTCTTTTATTCATTATTTAAAATCAAATAACATTAATAACATACTTCAAAAAGTTTACACTTATCCTACTTCCATTGGCTGTCATCCTGAAAAAAAAAATGCCGAGAGATGATGATGATAAAACATGTTTATTCTTCCATGAGATGTATAAATTGAAACCAAGTATGTGGAACCCACATTTAAAATGAGTAATTCAACACAATAACCATCAATTAGTAGTCACTGAATGTCACACAGATGAGACAATGTTTTAGGCACTATTTTTTTAAAAAGACAAAAAATTTACCCAGAAATAATAACAAGGTACACAAATTTTTTATACCTTAACATTTTGTTTTCATTTATTTTCTACCATGATTATGTGCAGGAAGTGACTGTGTAATGATTGGTATAGATTGTCACAACTCATCACTCGTGTCTACTTGCATCAGTCATTAGCAGTATAGAAATACCAGGTCATGCAGCAGTTCATTAAGGTTCGGGAGATTAGTCTGTTAAGATCAAGTGAAGATCAGTAGCTCAGTAAAGTTTGGTGAACATAGTCATAGTTGAGAAAGATTCTAAGCAGAGATGACTATTTATCAGCTGTGAAATTTCCAAGAATTAACTACTTCTGGTTGTGATTGTATCCTACCATTTAAAAATACATAGAATCAAAAGAAAAGAAAAAAAAAATACATAGAATCTAAGATTAAAGCCTTTATAGGCTGGGCATGGTGACTCATGCCTGTAATCCCAGAACTTTGGGAGCCTGGAGCGGGAGGATCGCTTGAGACCAGGAGTCTGAGGTCACTGCACTCCAGCCTAGGTGACAGAACAAGACTCTGTCTCTAAAAAACAAACAAAAAGTAAAATCCTTATAGTCTTTCAGTTTTTTCTTTTTTCAGCACCCCGTGCTGAGAGAGGATCTTTGTTTTTTCTTAAAAAAAACACTACGTTTCCTTTGCATTTCCAAGTGAAATCTTTCTAGATAGTTACTGAGAAACAAATGAGTTTTAAGTTTGTGAATGGATCTTTAGTCTTGCCAGTTCATCTCACTGTATGAGAACTAAGGAAATTATTCAAATACAGTGCACTCTTTAAAGCTTCTTTGAAAGCTCTGTTCTTAACTCAACCAAGTGCAGTATTAAATCGAACAAAAACACTCTTAAAATGATTTTATTAATCCACAGATTCATTTTTTAATGACGTAAAGTTGGATAAAAAGACTTTGTTCTGGTAAAGTTATCTAAACAATAATATAAAAGACTGTTTTGGTTGCCACACAAAAAGGCATGGAATGCTTGAGGCTTTTGAAAACCTAGAATAAACTCTCAAGTTTCCAGGTTTAGGAAATCTTGTTTGCCAATGTTATGCATATAAAGGCCACGTTTAAAAACATTCTGATTAGGCCGGCCGTGGTGGCTCACGCCTATAATCCTAGCACTTTGGGGGGCCGAGGTGGGTAGATCACCTGAGGTCAGGAGTTTAAGACCAGCCTGGCCATCATGGTGAAACCCCATCTTTAAAAAAAAAAAAAATTCTGATTAAACATTTTGGCTTACACTTACCATCACATCACTACATGAATTGAGAGTGTGAATGCAGCTCAGGATGAGTAGTTTCCATCAGAAACAAGTTTATGATAAAGATTGGATAGTTTTCATTCTTTTTTTAAAAAATCGTATTTACGGTGCTGGTGGCTCATGTCTGTAATCCCAGCACTTTAGGAGGCTGAGGGAGGTGGATCACTTGAGGTCAGGAGTTGGAAACCAGCCTGGCCAACATGGTGAAACCACATCTCCACTCAAAATACAAAAATTAGGCTGGGTGCAGTGGCTCATGGCTGTAATCCCAGCACTTTGGGAGACCGAGGTGGGCGGATCACCCGAGGTCAGGAGTTCGGCACCAGCCTGACCAGCTTGGAGAAACGCTGTCACTACTAAAAAAAATACCAAATTAGCCAGGGGTGGTGGTGCATGCCTGTAATCCCAGCTACTCGGGAGGCTGAGGCAGGAGAATTGCTTGAACCCAGGAGGCAGAGGTTGCAGTGAGCTGAGATCACACACTGCATTCCAGCCTGGGAGACAGAGCAAGAATCCATCACAAAAACAACAACAACAAAAAAAAACACATTTACTTAAACTGTTTAGTAATTAGCTACATCATTTATTAATTTTAAATTTAAATTTTAAATTAAATAACTTTAATATAAAATCAAATATATTTGAATTCTAAGAAACTTGGTGAAAGCATTTTGCCTGGAGCAAATAATTTCACTATTTTGGCATTATTATCCATATTCTCTATAATGATGTATAAGAAAATAGGTCAGCTATTTTATATATATATAAATGCATAAAGATAACTGGCTAAGTTTAGACAAATGTTTGGCAATTGTGTACAAACAGTCAGATTTTTGCAGTCATCATTGTTCACTTTACTATTGTTTTACCATAAATAGCTCCTTTATAATATAAAATTTAACCCTATTTTATATTTTGTGGATTCAGTTAGAACACATTTGCCCTTTTCTTGACATCCTCCTCCTATCTCCCCCTCCCCCCACCTGATACACACACACACACACACACACACACACACACACACACACACGCACACACACACACACACACCCCAAGCACAACGTGGTGAACAAGGTGCTATGAGACGAGTTCTAGACTTCCTTTTGCTCATGCATTGAACTTCTGGCCCTGCCTTCCTGTTTGTTTCTTCTAGTTCTTTAGTTATGTTTTAAATCTTGGAACACATGATATCCTTCAGCCCAAGTATTAGTCTCTCCCGATCGTAGTATTATAAAGGGTGGCCACTGAAATTTAATTCATATTTTATGTTTTAGCTATTTAACTTTAGAAGTAGGCACAGGTGACTGTACTTTAAACTGCTGTTAGATTTTCAGTGTTTGGGTGTATGCCATTTTGGATTGATAAGAAATTGTCATATAAGATTGAAAACTGTAACAGTAAAATGGACTACTTTACATTTTGGGGACCAAGTATTTTCTCATTTGGTTAATTACGGTTTGAACTTGTGAAATTAACCTAAGGATATCAAGAAAATGCTGACAGTATAAATATTCATACCTTATATAGTTATAATTTATATTCTCTCCATAAGCACAATTAAAAATACATGAACCTAGAAAATGTACAAGTATTTGAAAATACAATTAAATATCTACTTCAAAGATGCACAAAAAGCACAAACTTGACTTTTGATTAGGTTGTCTGCAGGAACATCCCTCTATTATTTCCACTTGGCAAGAACAATAGTTCAGGGTAAAAAAAAGCAGAGGAAGCCAGGCACGGGAGGGTCATGCCTGTAATTCCAGCACTTTGGGACACCGAGGCGGAAGGATTGCTGTGCCCTGAAGTATGAGACCTATATCCTGGGCAACATAGGGAGACCCTGTCTCTACAAAAAATAAAAAATTAGCCAGGCATGATGGTGTGTACCTGTGGCCCCAGCTAGCAGGAGACTGAAGTGGGAGGCTTGCTTGAGACTGGGAAGTTCAGGGTGCAGTAAGCTGTGATCATGCCATTCCACCCTGGTCAACAGAACAAGACCCCGTCCCCACCCCCACACTCCCCAAATAAGCAGAGGATATGCAACAATCAAGAATTCCTATGGGTCTATGAAAACACACATCTTTTTCTACTCCCTCTGCACAGGAATGAAAGGAAAACTCATGAGAAAAAAAATTCTCACCCATTGTAAATATAATAGTATGCTCATGAGCAGCATATCAGTATCAACTCTGTAAAATGCTTACTCTATTTACAAAGCATTTTTTGCATGATTCACTAGATTCTCAAAATAATTTTCCATGAAACACAATAATAAATGGGGTTATTAGCCTCATTTTACAGATAAGAAAAATGGTGCTTAGAGAGGTCAAGTGACTTTGTGATAGTTAGATATTGGTAACCGAGTTTTCTGATTTCTTATTAAATATTCTTTCTATTATGCTATTTAGGCTTTCAAACAAATGAAGCAACTATAGTTTAACAGTAAAAACTCTATGATTCCAAAAAACTTCACTTGGTACTCCTTTGTGATTAAGAATAGTTTACAGAACAGAAGTGTACCTTATAAAATATATGACACTATGATCAAAATACCCCTTCCAGGAGAATTTAATCAATAAGTTAAAAATAAGTAAACTCAAAAGTCATTTTACCGTCTTAATTGATTATTCTATCTTCACTTGTACCTGATGAGATTGTAAAATGCAATTTGAAGGCTAAATATATCAAATATCTAGCCAATCTTCCTTGTCCAGAAAAATCTCTTCTGCATTCTTTTTGTATTGGAAATGAGGAAATTTGGAAATTTACTTGGAGAAAAAATGCTTTTACTAAAAGCATTCTATGTTTACCTATATTAATAATTTTGACAATAGTTCAAGGTAAATTGCATTTATTTTTTGAAAATGTCAATATATAAATAAATTTTATTTTTCTTATCTAAATATGAACAGTATACTGTAAAAGCAGAACATTTGCTGCTGTTACAGTATATTGTTCATATTTAGATAAGGCATGGCGGCGCACGCCTGTAATCCCAGCACTTTGGAGGCCAAGGTGGGTGAATTGCTTGAGACCAGGAGTTGGAGACCAGCCTGGGCAACATGGACAAACCCTGTGTCTGCTACAAACACTAAAATTAGCCAGGCATGGTGGTACACGTCTGCAGTTCCAGCTATTCAGGAGTCTGAGGTAAGGTACTGAGAATCACTTGAACCCAGGAAGCGGAGGTTGCAGGGAGCCAAGACTTCGCCACTGCACTCCAGCCTGGGCAACAAAACAAGACCCCTGTCTCAAAAAAAAAAAAAAAAAAAAAAGCAAACATTTGGTGAGCAGTCCTCTGTTTTAAATTTTACAAATATTTGCTTAAAATATTTTGCTTGATCCTTAGATATGTCTGTAAAACATAATGCATTTTAGGAGTAATAAATTAGGAAACAAAAATGAACATAAAACTTATTTTCTTGTGTTGAGGCAAAATTAAGGGAGGACAAACATTTCCAAAGAATGGGGAAAAAGCCTGGTACCTTATACAAGGAACTGCTATTTACGTCTTAGTGAAGCCTTCTGAGATTGTTTACTCTGCAGGTGAACAGTGCATATTTAAATGCACTTTGGAATTCAATATTAATTAACTCAAGAGAACGTAATTCCTGATACAATCTTTTCAATTGATTATATATGTACAAAAATCCATTCAAACTGTCAAGAAAAATGAGCAATATTGACATATCTGGACACTAAGGTCAGCGTATGCTAACAAAGTAAGAATGGAGGTAACTATGTAGATTTTCCAGTTTCAAGAAAAAGTTGTCCGCTTTGCCTGATAATTTAGCAAAATACCCAATCTGGTAGTGTAACAAGTAAGCATAGCGCTCTGAATCAAATACCTTACAAAATAGTATTAGTGTGGGTTTGTAACCTTTTTAAATGCTTTATTGCATCATTCTGCTGTTAATGTTGGTATTTATCCTGAAATGACACCCAATCTGTTCCTGTTCTTTGGCATGTTTGAAGTCAGCAGAAGCACTCTTTCCTGGGCTTTACTGCTTCCTCGGAAGAATGCACAGTATTTGGAACAAAACCACTTTTAACCCCTTCCCAGCCATCCTGAATACAAATTTCTCCCTTTTTAATAAGTTCATATATGTCTCTTGTCAAGATTGTGAAGGATTCTTCAACATTTGTAGCATCCTTTGCTGAGGTTTCTATATACTTCATTCCACAGTCTGCTGACAGTTTTTCAGCTTCTTCCCTTGTAACCTGACGTTGTGAAGCTAAATCACATTTATGTCCCACTAGCAGAAATACAATCCGAAATGGCTGTACGTGCATTTTTGCTTCTTCTAGCCAATCTTTCACATGTTCAAAAGATCGTCGGTTAGTAATGTCAAATACTAAAAATCCACCAACTGAGTTGCGGTAATAAGATCGAGTTATTGATCTGAAAAATAAGAGAAAAAAGGTTGTGTAAGGACAACTTGTTCTTTTTCTTCTCCTTCCAACAATCTAGCACCATAATAACATTTGAAGATATCTTAATGTGATTTAACTAGAATTTATAAATAAAATATGAGGTATCTCAAGTGAACAAAAATATTCTATGGGACCAATATGCAAGTTTCATACACTGACAGAGCAGGAAAGTTGTAGTTGTTTTTAGACAGACAAATAAGCACTTACATGCTATGTCATCTCATACTGTCTTATGATTATTTGTTTTTGCTTTGAAAGATCTGATAGATTATTACATCATTGTAGTTAAAAATAGGCATACTGAAAGACTGAGTGAAGGGTACAGGTTGTACAACAAACCAGATCTGAAGAATCTCATTTGTCATACAATTTAATGAACTCCTCTCTATCAATTTAGGAAAAAGAAACAAGGGCTGTAGTATGGATCGAATGTCTGTGTCCCTCCGAAATTCTTATGTTGAAATCTTAACCCTAATGTGGTAGTATTAGGAGGCGGGGCCTTTGGGATGTAATTTAGGTCCTGAGGGTGGAACCTTCGTGAATGAGATCAGTGCCTTAAAAAAAGATAGCCCAGAGAGCTGTCTAGTCCTCTTTCTACCATGTGAGAATACAAAATGGCTGTCTGCAACCCAGAAGAGGGCCCTCACTGGAACCTGACCATGCTGGCACCAGGATCTCCCTGATCACCCACTTCCAATCTCCAAAATTGTGATAACTAAATTTCTGTTGTTTAAACCCCGATTCTGTGGTAATTTGTTATACCAGCCCAAGCTGATGAAGATAGCTGACTTGTCACAGTATTAGTTACAGGTAGTCTTGTGTTATACCTATTCAAGAAACAGGAGACTGTCTGGATCTGGGATATGAATCTGAGGTGTGCTAACGATTCTCTGAATGTCTCTCCAGATCTAGTCTCCATCCTTCTCTAGGGCTGACGAAGCTGTCCTTCACAGAAAGCTTTCCCAAACTCCCTTGCCCTCTGGCTTGCAGGGGTTTCAGCCAATGGGAGGTGCCAGCTGGAGACAGAAGGAAAGAGAAGTCAGAGTATGTATCCCTCTCTTTGCTTTTGCTGGGCTGTGGCTTAGCAGTGGTAGTATTCCTCTGCTTCTAGTCAAGGTTTCTGTTGGGTAGACTGTCTCCCATGCCTACAGCTGTCACCAGGTTCTGGTAATACCTTTCTCTGTCCTCGTCTCTTTCAACCAGGTGGTTAATGGCTTCCCATTATTGCTATCTCTTAATGCTTCACCATCTTTTATTAGTGTCCTTGATGCTAACCAGATTTCGTTAAACTCTTTTCAGTTAACCTACAATTGTGCCATCTGTTTTCTGGCTGAATCACGAGGCAAGGTGGCAAGACTATACTGTTTCATGTTTCTTGCCCCTCCACATGTTGTTTTCTCTATCTGGAATGCCTTCTACCCCTTTTTGGTCTAGGAAACTCCTATCTCTGCTTTAATAGTCAGCTCAATAATCATACCACCTGAGCAGCCTTCCCTGTCACTCACCTCTTTCTTAGGTACTATCTTTTTAAAAAATTTTATTATTTTATTTTACTTTTTTTTTTTTAAGAGATGGGGTTTCACTATGTTGGTAAGGCTGGTCTTGAACTCCTGACCTCATGATCCACCCGCCTCAGTCTTCCAAAGTGCTGGGATTACAGGCGTGAGCCACTGCACCCGGCCAGGTACTTTCTCATAGTTCCTTTGAACCACTGGCATACTGTCATTATGATTATCTTAATTTTCTCAATATGCTGACTGGGTTTGCTGTTATGTCAATCATATTGCCTGTTAAATGACAGATGTTATAAAATGTTTGTTATACTGGATTTCTTTTTTTTTTTTTTTTTGAGATGGACTCTCACTCTGTTGCCAGGCTGGAGCGCAGTGGCGTGATCCCAGATCACTGCAACCTCTGCTTCCTGGGTTCAAGCAATTCTCCTGCCTCAGCCTCCTGACTAGCTGGGACTAACAGGTGCATGCCACCATGCCCGGCTAATTTTTGTATTTTTAGTAGAGACAGAGTTTTACCATGTTGGCCAGGATGGTCTCGATCTCTTGACCTCATGATCTACCCACCTTGGCCTCCCAAAGTTCTGGGATTACAGGCGTGAGCCACCATGCCTGGCCAATATTGGATTAATTAATTTTATTGGAGTGGATAAGTGCTAAATGTTGTATAAGCCAGAGATCCCATGTGTCTCAGTTTCCAGTTTGTCAATGATCTTTAAGTGAACTCATCTGACTACCTGCCTGAGGTACCAAGATCGTTGTGCATGGCCAGCAGGTTATTTGGTACCGTCATACTTTCCTACTTGCTCTCATTGCTGAAATCACAGCTCAGTTCAGTGACCTGATGCCATAAATAGCTTTGTTGTGGGAGTGCAAAGAAAGCATTTTACCTCCTCTTTCTATTTCTCCTGCTTCCCTGTTTCTCCTCAGAATTCCTAGTAGAGAGATTCCCAAGTGGCTATTTTTGAAAAACTTTTGTCAAGGACTATAGTATTATACAGAAATTGAGTTTTTCACCAACCCGATGGTTAGAGTCTAAAAATAAAAAAAAAAAAAGAAAAGAAATTGACAATAAGAATCTCTCCCACCATCTTTGGCAGGCTATGAATAATGCAATTGCTATGTTTTAACGTTGAGGGATAACTAATTTGTTATTGTTTTGTCACTCATCTTTATATGTGTGAATTTAGGCAGATGTGCAGTGTCTTAAGAGAAATCTAATTAAGGCTGTGTTCTTAGACTGAAAGCTTGAATTTACTCAGCACCAAGTCTGCATTACTTTTATGCCTCCTACCCATTTAATTTACCACTACTAGAATATTTAAAAAATGCCTTTTGTGGCTGAAAACTCAAGGCTGAAATGCTTATATATTACACAGAGACATGTTTTACACTGTAAGAAACACTATGTTTTCTTTCTTTCTTTTTCTTTTGTCTTCACTGTAAAAAACAGCTTCTTTTTTTCTTTATTCCTTCCTTCCTTCTCTTTCTTTCTTTCCTTCTTTCTTTCTCTCTCTCTTTCTTCCTCTCTTCCTCTCTCTCTCTCTTTCTTTCTTGTACAGGGATGCTCTTGGCTCACTGCAACCTCCACCTCCTGGGTTCAAGCTATTCTCCTGCCTCAGTCTCCCAAGTAGCTGGGATTACAGGTCCTCACCACCACGCCCAGCTAATTTTTATATTTTTAGTAGAGATAAAATTTCACCATGTTGGCCAGATTGGTCTTGAACTCCTGACCTCAGGTGATCCACCAGCCTTGGCCTCCCAAAGTGCTGGGATTACAGGCATGAGCCACCACACCTGGCTAGGAAATACTATGTTTTCAAAAACTTATCTTTTATTTTCTTTTTAAAATAAGCAACCCTATTAACTGATTGTATTTAATTTTGAAAACACATTTAGAATACAGTTGGCAAATCATCCTACAGAATAAAATTATAGCAAAGTACATGTAATACACATTATAAAACAACCCTTATTAATAATTAGTTGGAATAAGAGGACTCAGTATAACATCTGTCATTTCTATGTAGTAACCTGGTTTCTAGTTTCTGTGTGTGGGTCTGTGGGGCTTCAGATTCAGGTATAGTTGTCCTGGAGATAGTACTTTTCCTAAAACAATTGGGCACTGCTGCTATCAGTCATCTGGGGGAAGAAGCAAGCCTTCAAATGGGAAACTCCAACTGAAAGGCAGCTCTTACAGAGGTGTTGAGGGAGCGGCTATCTATCTCTTGACCTTTCTCCCGTAAGTTGGGACACTTAGGTCTCTAGAAGTTCTTGAAGGAATTATGAGAAGGTAGGGAACAAATTCTAAAAGCACTAGATAGGGAGACCTCTCTATAAGGAACTCAAGAATTGATGATGAATAACAATTCTTTTTAAGCAACAATATCTTGTAGTATGATACTTTATATGTATTTCCTTCTAGGCTTTGAAAGTCTCCCTGAATGGGCCCGTGCAGTGGCTTACACCTGCAATCCCAGCATTTTGGGAGGCTGAGGTAGGCGGATCACCAGAGGTCAGGAGTTTGTGATCAAACTGGCCAACACAGTGAAACCCCATCTCTACCAAAAATTCAAAAATTAGCTGGGCGTGGTGGCACACACCTGTAGTCCAACTTACTTGGGAGGTTGAGGCAGGAGAATTGCTTGAACCCAGGAGGTGGAAGTTGCAGTGAGCTGAGATTGTGCCACTGCACTCCAGCCTGGGTGATGGAGAGAGACTCTGTTTCCAAAAAAACCCAAACCAAACCAAAACAAAACAAAACAAAAACCAAAAAGAAAAAAAAGAAAAGAGAAAAGAGAAAAAGAGAAAAAGAAAAAAAAGTCTCCCTGAATGAATGGATGATTTAAGCGAAAGAAAACAATTGTGAGGTAGGGAAATGAAGGGAAGAAAAGAAGAATGAACCTGAGCAACATAGGGAGACCCTGACAAAAAAAAAAAAAAAAAAAAAAAAAGAATAGAAACAAGGAAGAGAGAAATAAATGGCATGGATTCTAACCCGGTCTCATGTGTGTTATGAAGGAATGAAGAGGTGAGACTATTCTTTGGCAAGAATGGTAAAGCAGATACAAAAACCCTAAATACAGCGTGAGGGTGACGTGATGATGGGGAAGGTGAATTCTGGAGCGGAGGGATTGGGGTTATAAGCTCCTAGCAGTCCCTTGTCCCTCCAACTGGAATATCTGGTTTTAATTATAAAAGAAAGCTGACGGCTCTTTCATACTTTGAAGTCTACACTATCAGCAAATCGCATCCCATTGCCAAAGGAGCAGTCTCCTCTCCTTGTCTTAATTGAAAACTGCTGGTCCCTGAGACCACTCCTTTCCCTGCAGCATGCTCACGTTGTCCTTTCTCTAGGATCAGGAGGAGATGGCTTCCGTTTCCCCAGTGCAACTTCCAGATAATTATTCTTTCCCAACCCCTGTTGTAAAAAAAAATTCCCTGCTCCTTTGAGGCT